GTTAAATGAAATCTTTAAAAAGGTCACAATGAAAGCTTTAAGGTAAAACAAGAACTAAAGCAACCCAATCTCAGAGGAGCAATTTTTGGAATGTCTATGAGAACTGGGCAGGTGATCTACTTTAAAGCCAGTATTTTTGTTTTGCTTTACATATATATATTTCCTTTTAGAGTTTATGGAAGTGGTATATAGTTTGTGCATTTGCAACTATGCAGGTATGCATATATAGGCAACCTTTGGGAACCTCTCACAACTCAAGTAGCTAAAACAATTTTTTAGGGGAAAGGCTTATCCCTGGGTGACTTGTCCCACATTCAGACTGATATTCATGGCTGCAAAAGGAGGAGTTCAGCTGTCAGAGGGTTAATATGAAAACCCATCAGCTCCGGGGAAGTGGGTAAAGATACTCTGTGCTTAGACTCCATAATCAATGACTACTGGATTGTGCATTAGTCAGTTCTCATTGAGAAGTGAATTTTGATGCCCCCTCAGTCTTTTCCATTCATTTGGCAGCACCTTAGCACTATAAGTGTGTATGAATGGGAATCAATTTGGTGGTAGGAAATTTTTTGAAAACCATTAAGAAGCCTGATTCATGACCCCCTACTACACTAAGTAACTAGCTAACAGCAGAATCTTCAAGGAGTCAGCACTGTTAGATAAAAACGGTGTAGACATATCTACACAACTACTACAGAATCTAGAAATCCAGCTTGGGAGTGGGTAAGTGAGTGTGTGCATGTCATCCTTCAGGGCTTAAATCCCATATCTCCTTTCCTGGTAACAGACCTTTTGTGCTCTTTGGTTAGAAAGGAATACGGAGGACAAGGGCACCTGCATTCTCTTTATCTCAAGTTCTCTCTGTTCTTTGCTGGCCTCTTTGCCTGCTTCAGGGCACACATTCAGTAGAGATACTTTCAAAAATACAGTCAATAGAACATACTTCTAATATATCTCTAAGAAGGTTATTTAGTGTGCAGTTTTAATGGTTCTTGCTCAAATCTATGGCATATGAAAGCTCTTGGGAGGAGCACCTTCCTGCCTTCATGGTTTCTCAGACAGAAAGACTTGTACTATTCTTGCACAAAAGAGTCAAACATATTGGGTATGGATGATGGTAAATTATCTTAGAATAAAGAAAAATAGTATGTGGGAGGAGGGACAGTTGTGATTTATAGCACAGAACTGAAACTCACAAGCCCCCCCTGAATATTAATGGGATAGAAAATAATATATTTCCAAAGATCTCAAAAAAGATTTTTTGAGATTTGAAAAGTTCCTTGAAAGTTAGAGTGGCATGATTTTCTCTCATTTTGACAATTGCTTTCAATGTCATACAACATCATTTTTCTCTTCTGGGTTATTTTCAGATACCATACTGCAGAACTAAAAAACCTATCTGTCATGTCTCATTTACTCAGAGCAAAGTCATTTGGTGTCATTGTTTCTATCTATTGATGCTCTTCCACCTCCAATATATAACTAGGCTATAGCATTACTGGAAAAGGGTGGCACATAACTTGATATTTTAAAAAATTAGTGTTATATATCAGTGAAAAGCAAATACTATGGGACATACAAATAAGAAAACCCTCTTACATTATAAAACAAAAAAACAAACCCTAGCTTAACATATTTGAGGGTTACAGCCACCAAACTCTGTGTGTAGTGACAATGATTCCTTTGTTGATGCATTAACAAAGTATTATTTATATTTCTGTAAAAATAAATCTTTATTACAGTCATAGACCAGCATATTATTTCCTTATCAATACTCTCGAATGCAAAATAGACAGACGAAACAAGAAGCAGCAGCTCCATGAAGTTGGAATGGTAATTGGATAATCTAAATTGCATAGAATTAGCTTTTAATGTAAGGAATACTAATATTTATCTGAACTGCAAAGGTTACAAGGAAACTAAGTGAAAATAAGGATTGCAAACTGCTAATAGAAAAAGTGGGGGGAGCTTTAAGTAGCTAATTTCTGGGTTGATGTGAAGTTTCAGGGAATTGATTCATGAGAAACTGAGAACATTTCTGAGATGAACTGCAAAAGTCTTTTTGCTTGCAAGAATTCAGCATTAGTATGCAACTGAAAAAAGAGCAAAACTATTCAGAATTTCTAATTAAAATATATATATTGTTTCCTGAGAGTTGACTTATACTGATTAGACAGGCTGATTACTGTCAAAAGGAAAAGTTGAGGACCTAGTCTTTGGCAGAAGAAGGAGTAAGCCTCCTTGGACAATTAGCACTCAGCAAACAGAACAAAGCCACTCTTTTAAATATTGGGATATTTTGTTCCAGGGTTCATTATTTTGGAAAACATTCCTTTAAAGTAGCTGTATGAACTACCTAGTGCAATTTGGAGACTTGCTTGGATGTTTTGTTCCAAGGGAATTCAGCTAGTAATCCCTGCTCTTTATTGCAAAGCAAAACAAAGCAAAGCAATTATGTCAGTTCCCATACTGTGAAATGAAAAGATGGCTACCCAGTTAAAAACATTTTTTTTAGGAAAATCCTTGATATTCCTGGGGGAATCCTGCCATACATCTCAGAATGATGACAATGTGAGTCAGAGTAGTTCCAGAAACTTAACAGCCCTCCATAGGTGTCCATAGCAAGCCACAATGCCATCAAAATGACATCAAAAATGTGTCACAACATCATAGCACAAATAACACAATTGGGTACTTGCACAAATATTACCCTTCCTGAAAATGTATTTCCTGCCTCCATTAGATGAATTAAGATATTGTGACTGGCTTTTGAAGAGAATGTTAGCAAATGCTGGCTTGGTTCAAAGTCCAATTTAAGAAAAAAAATGTTTCACAATTTTTACATAATTTCCCCTGTTCTTTTAAGGGAGACATTCATTATATTTCATACCATGCCTTTGGTGTATCTTGAAGGCAGGTGTCACAAAGTTTCCGTAAACCAAAGTGGGGTTTACCTCTAAGGAAAAAGAAAAACATTTGAAAGGTGTTGGATGGGGGGGACTTGCATCCCACAGCTTTGGGTGCAGCAGAGCACCATCATTTCTTCCCAAGAGGATTGTGTGTGCAGTTGCGTCTTCCTCCAGTAGCTGTAACAACACATTACGATATTCAGATAACAACGACTTATCTTGAAGTTGCCTCTAAAATCTGTATGGGCAAACATACACTGCAAAGTGATTCCAAATTCTTATTAGCAGAAGCATATACAAATGTACAAATAAAAGATACAGTGTGAGCTGTCATTTCCCAAAAAGGAAAGAGGCCAGAATTTAAATTTTTACACAAGGAAGAAAGACATTCTTATTCCTTTGCTGTCAACTCGTTGCCTTTATTGTTCCTCTCCTTTTTATCTCTTTGTTAATATTCATGAGTAGAAATACCATTATCCCTTTAAAATATGGAACATAACAATATATGAAGAAATCTGGATTTACACTTCATGGACTGCAGCTATTTTTTTTAATGTCACCTGATTTTAAAACTTGGAGGAATGAAATGTGTTCCCTCTCTACCTATGAGCTTGTATCACACCCACATGGAGAAAAAAAATCTAACAATTTCCCATGTGGCCATGGTTTAACCTGAGGTTTATTTTCATATCTATATATATAAAATATATAACATTTTATACTTTTTGCTTTCACTTCTTTATACTTGTTTCCATTATGGTTTAATTTTTCCTTTTATTTCTTTCTATATATTAGAGCAATGATGTTATAAAGGAATTATCCCCTTATGGTCTTGTGTTCCTGCAAGCCTAAACTGATCGATTTTGCATTCAAAATTCAAGAAAGCAAAGGCATTCAGGATTCTCTAAAGCCTAACCCTTTACAGCATCCAAACGCATGAAACCGCTCAATTAAATCCACTTTTTATACGAAAGAAATTAATTAGAACTGTGTTCTGGAAGTCAGTAAAATTATGAGAACTTTAAAAAACAAGTTTTTAAAGCAATATATTTTGACAACTTCAGCACAAATTTCTAGGAAATGTTTTATGCTACATCCTTTAAAGGATTTAATTAATTAATTAATTAATAAGATTTAAGGCTTTCATCCTTTTCTACTGAAAGGTTTGTAATTGCCATTTTTAAAAACTCTATTCTGTGAAAGCCAGCACACTTTCTGTGCTTATAAAAGCATAGCTGCAATGAACAAGAAAGGCCTATATGCACTCCCTGTATTATATGACAAGAAGGCAGAGCTTCTGGTCTGCAGTTCAGTGTACCCTTGGAGTGATCCAGAGCTGGCGAGTTATTTACAGAGTTACAGCACTGCTTGAAGTAGATCCTGTGGTCTCTCCATATTATCTTAGACAGACTAGGTGTGGGGACATGATAAAAGTGTATATAACCACACATGGTGTAAAGAAAGTGGGCGGAGATACATTTTGCTCCCTCTCTCAGAATGCTAGGTCCCCCAGGAGCCTTCCCTTGAAGATTTAGAACAGACCAATGTAGTTCTTCATACAGTGCACAATTAGCCAGTGGAATTAACTCCCGCAAGATGTGCTGATGGCAACTAACACAGATGGCTTTAAAGGGGGATTTGATAAATTCATGAAGGGTAGATCTATCTGGGGCTATTCATTTTGAAACTCAGTGTCATTGGGGGCAGCACAGCATTCCTCCAAATGCCGGCTCCAGAAGAACAATGGCAGGAGAGTAATGTGGTTCTGAGGTGTGAGAACACAAGCAGTAAAAGCACATTATCTCCCACCTAATGTGAGCTGTTAGGCCCTTTAACTAGTCAGCAGCTCCTATGACCACAAAAAGCAGCAGGAACAAAGACTGCTATGGAGCCTTATGATGAATCTGTGAGTAAGTGTTGAACAGTTGTCTATAAAACAAAGGTCATTTTATAACATTATATACATACATTGTATTATCCAAATATGTGCAATGAATAAGTTAAGTGAAATGTATAACTCTAGATCAGAGTATCTTTATTTACTGAACTACCAGAAGGGTTGAAATGGGCTAATTTGAGCTTTGTTCCCAGCCCTCGCCATGCGAATGGTGCCGTTGTGAGCCCAGCAATGAAGTTCACTGTGTTGTAGCAGACTGTGCCGTCCCTGAATGTGTCAACCCAGTCTATGAACCAGAACAGTGTTGTCCAGTCTGCAAAAATGGTAAGCTTTCAATACATAAAAAGAAACATGTCATCAGAAAATTTTTAAGGTTTTGACAACACTTAGAAACTTAACTTCATTAGGAAAGACCATTATTTGTAGAGTAGACTCACAAAGGGTATGTCAATGATGGGTAAACTTCTTTATTGGTATATGCACCAAGATATGTGGTACCTATAAGGTTTATGGACTTGGATTGGACAACTGGTAACTATAAGAGAGACAGGTCACAATGCAAGACACAGATGAGCAATCTCTTAAAGTTTGCTGAGACACCTTAAAAATTATGAGAACTGGATTTTTTAATTATTATTTTCCATAGCTAAATAACTATTTTCAGTTAATGGAATTCTAATCTGAAAAGAATAAAGGAGCGATGAGTACTCTCGGGTTTATATCATAACTGGATTAATAAACATTAATATTTCATATGTCATAACAAGGATAGATATTCCAAATGTAGTGGTGACGCCAGTTGGCCTTGGTCACACCCAATGATATTGCCAGAAGCTTGAAGGGGCACAACTCCTCCCCATTACTCCTCCTTGACATCTATCAGACATATTGGGAAAACTCTATTTCCTACTGTTCCTTAATCCTTTAATTAGCTTACTATCACAGCAGGATGAAGGTTCGTATATTAGTGGAAGGGGAGACAGAGATGAACTGTATTCCAAAGTGCTATTTATCAAAATCCAGTGATGCGATTGCTATTGAGGCTTGAAGCTATACCATAAACTGGGCTTCATTATAAGAATTATGTCACATTTTGGCTTTGTTAAATGTCATGTCACATCGGCTTACAGAAAAGCTGCAGTGACACAGCAAGCTATGTGCTGCTTTAGAGAACTTCATGGATTTTGGTCTTTCTGGCTATTAGGAAATCCAGTTCCATCTGTGCTAAGTAATCTTGTTACTAAAAACCCTGTTCCTAAAAATACTTAGAATATTAATTTAAATGATGATGATTATTTATTAATTAGATAAAGATTATTAAATTGGGGCTAAAGGTTGAATGCATCTCTAGTTCATCAATACTTTTTTTCTATTTCCAAGGTATCTATAATTTCCATGGTCCACAGACTTTGCAACCAAAAAAAAAATAGAATCAGCCAAAGATAATATTCTACCTTTACCTTAATTACTTGTCTTAAAATTGTGGACTGAATGTAATGTCAGAAATTCATCAGAACAAGTGTGACTTCTAAGAGGGGAATCTGGAACAACTTGCTTATATTAATACATATTAAAATGTAAATAAAGTACTTGGAGGTCTCCATATGGAAAGTTCCTCTTCTTTTTCCCCTTATGTGCTTTATTATAATTATATCCTCTGCCTGTGTGAATCCATATTATATGAAATAATATTTATAAAGGATGTTACATGAATAAAACATCTTCAGTTGAAACCACAATTACACAGAAAATAGCTCCCGTAGGGTGAAATGAATAAACAATCTGTTTGGACAAGGACCACCTAACCCTTAATTCCACCAAGGCCAAAGAGAAAATTAGATAGTTCTTGCCATCACCTTCCCTCCATCTAAATAGTCCTCTCATCCACTTCTGAATTGTTTCTCCACAACCTCCCTTAAGTCCAAACCAACAGGACAGCTACTGCAATAACAAAGTTAATGTCACACATGCCAGAGGTACAAATACTGATTGTCCATTGTTTTTCCTAAGCAACCATGGGATATGGACAAAGCCTGGGAAAAACTGGGTTATTTGGAGTATATTTTCTCTCATCCCAAGTGGGCTAGGTGGTATAATCCACATCATTCTGATCCCTAACCTTCCATGAAATTTTAGTCTTGATTTGTTTCTCTGGAGCTCTAGCATGCTGCACATGGCAGTGCTGACTAAGAGTGTTCAGTTGTTGATGAAAACCCCCACAATGAGACAGGGAGGAAGAAAGATAGAAGTGTCTGCAGGGTGTGGTTAAAAAAAGTCAAAATGACAGCCACAACAGTGCAATAAAATATTTTGACAAATACAGTTAATTAATTGATTATATCTCTCCTTCAATACTCAAAAATCAGCTCCATGACATTTACAAGGGGCCAGGTATCATCATTCCTTTTGCTGACTTCCTCTCTTTGGGCTATAAAAGAATCTTATCACAGGGGCTTCCTTCACTGCAAATTATATCAGCTACTATTCGAGAACATCATATTTTCAAGGAATTTCGCTTTCTCTAGTGCAATGTTTCCCAGCCTTGGCAACTTCCCAGGTTTGTAGGCTTCAACTCTCAGAATTCTCATCAATGGCCATGCTGGCAGTGGAATTCTGGGATTTGAAGTCCACAGACTTGGAAATTGCCATCAATGGGAAACATTGAAAGTCTAGTGAATACTGTAGGCTTGTTTCTCACAACCCAATGCTCTGTGCAAAAGGCTCTTTCAACTAAAAGTTGAAATAAAAAGTTTCCATCATGGATAAAAAGTTGAAATAAAAAGTTTCCATGATGCTGCTTTGGCTCTGTCTCCCTGGGAAAGTTAAGTGATTCAGGGGGGAAAAAAATCCTCCTCCTCTAAGGTAAGCTTTTCTCAGACTTGGCTGGCAACATGAGATGAAACCCAATTAAAAAAAAACATTCTGGCAAAAAAATCCTTTAAAAAGATACAAAGGCCAACATTACATGTTGCTGTATCTTGAAAATATTTAGTAGAGGAAAACAAAAGAACATCCAGCAAATGCATGAGATTGTGGGTGGCTTTTCTCTGTTGGGTTTACAAGTTTAGGAAAGTTCATTTTCAGTAGGTTCTTATCCTTGGGATGTATTTGTCATAAGTAATCAGCAATCCATATTAATAAGTGGTTCCTGATGCAGAGAATGTAGCATTTTAATTGCAATCTGATTAAAGAAATCTTTAAAACACTACATTAAAAAACATAATGGTTCCTGGGACTGTCACTACTCAGCAGCTTCTGATGCTTCTGGCCTTTTCCAATATTAAAATGGAGTTTGTTATGTCTTAAACTAGAGTCTCAAACACTAAGTCATAGTACATGTGCAAAGAAGCAGTCTAGAAGGGTCTTCTTTGCAATTCTAAACTGAAGGTCTAATCAATGAAATTATCTTACAGAACACAGGTCAGGATCTACACTGGATCCTCTTTCATATATGAAGCACTCTTCAGCATATACCAAAGGACAATACAAAATCCCTTGTGTTTAGAACATGAGCATGATAAATACACCTTGTAACTACATAAGAAGCCAACATTTCCAGACAGGCCTTGTGTCTTTGGTGGCCAATAAGGTTCAAACTGCAAGCTAGAATTGCTGTTGTGTTTGCATTTAATTCACTGTTCTGTCTGCAAGAGTTCCTAAGTTTGAACAGCTGCTCCAAGGTTCCAGCATATTTAATGTAATTTTGTTTTAATGAAAGGAATCAGTTCTTTTCTATACACCAACGTCTATAGCAGGGGTTCCTAAACCTTTTGCCATCACACCACCCTTTAGTGTAATCTTAATGTACACACCTCCCCTAAAAATCCAAACACTAAAACGAACACAAAAGAACAATGAAAACAACACAATGAAACTTTGGGGGGAAAAGGATTTATTGTAACAATGTAACTAAATGGTTCTTCCCACCTCCCCTGGACTATCTAAGGGAGGTGCAGCTCAGAATTTGGGAAATCCTGGTCTCTAGAGGTCAGGATGCTCGTGTTTTTTCATTATGCTCTTAGTAGTTTGCCAATTCTTTAGTCAATTTCCCAGTTGGAGAACATGATCTAGTCTTAGTCAATTTCACCTTCCTTAAAAAAAGAAAAAGGAAGAGAAACCCCACCCTCCCCATTTGATTTCAGCTGCTTAGAAAGGTAACCTGGAAATTTTCTGAGCAGCATCTCAGAGGTAAAACTAACATTTACAACAATATTGAAAGACAACATACTCAGCAGTGCACAGATGGTGTAATTTCCCAAAAGATTCATTACAAAAAATACCAGGAACCAAATCTGACTTTTTAGGAGATAATAGTGAAGAAAATGGATGATGTGTTGTATGATTCATGAGTAAGGCAGTCATCACACTGACAGGATATAAACATCCTTGAAAATCTGTCCCACATGAACTAAAAGGCTGTTTAAGATTTATCCACTCACTTAGATAAGAAACCTTCCTGAATTTTCTATGCTACTCTTTTGTTTCAAAGGCTCTTGGACCCTGAATCGTTCCTTGTAAATCTTTAGATACTTAGATACTTTAGATACTATACTTTAGATAATTATCCACCTTCTGGGGGATAATTCTTGGATGCAGAATATTATATTTCAAAAGAACAGTTGATAGCCAACTTTAAACCAAAAGAAACAATAATAAAATCATTGACTCTGAAAAAAAATCCAAAATCCATTTTCATTAGACCACAGAAAATGTTACAAAACTCACTGCAAGTTCCTGAATGTCAATAATTTTTTGCCACGCAAGTTGCTTAGAGGGAGAAGAAGCTGGGAGGTAAAACCATAGCTGATTTTGTTTACTTTCATACATAATTTATGCCCCATTCAGTTCTACATGCTCCAGCCAAAAGCCTTCATAAAATAATAAATACAATCAATTAAAAGCATCCTAAAAGAAAGCTATAAAAAGACAGGCTATTCAAGTTCCCCAAATCCAGTGGAGCAACTATTTCTTCTCTGCCTCTTAAAAGTACGTGGACCTCAGGGGCGGCATGTTCCAAAGTGACCAGGTTGCCTCCAACAATGCCTGCCCTGGACCCCCAGTCCTCTAACATCCTGAGAAAGGACACTTAAGGCATTGCTCCCCAGGCTGATGGTACAGGATGAACAGACTCTGTTTGGTCTCACGGGAAACTTGGACCTAAGCCACATAAGACTTAAGTCAAAAGCAGCCCTCTGAATTGTACTCAGAAGCATATAGTGGCAACACGTGCAGCATGAACAATATAGATGTAGCACTGCTGAAACAGCTCTCACCTGCCAGCTTGCAAGCTGGATCAGTGGCAGTTTCTGGATTCTCTTCAAAGGCAGCCCCAAGTACACTCATTGCAATAATCTAGTGTGGAATCATGAGGGCATGAGTCATGGCTGCCAGTGCCTCTCATTTCAAAACATGCTACAGTTGGCACACCAGCCAAAGCTGGGCAACGTTTTCCCTGGCCACCTTCTCCATCTGCTGTTCAAATAGAAGCCATGAGCCCAGGAAGACTCCCAAATTGGGGCCTGCTGTTTCCAAGGAAGTATACCTCAATCCAGAGTCAGGATAGGGGTTGTGATCAACTCTGACAGCTTCAGGACAAACAACTCCATTATGCTGGAATTCAGTTGTCTCATCCCATCCGGTCTATTTCTGCCTCCAGACATGGGGTAAGAAACATTCACCAGATCTCCTATCTGGTCCAAGGTTAACATGATTGAAAGGAAACGAGACAAGCCACTTCCTCCAAGATTCATTGCAGCTGCACCTGCTCCAATACCATCCATCAATTTCTTCCTGCAGGCTGGACTTGAAATGATCACACAGGCACACAGGAATCCAGTAATAAGCAATTTGCTGTTGAAAAGCTAAGAAGCCATCACAAAAGAACTCCAGCAATTCTTGGGTAGCAAATGCAAATTCTATTGATCCATGTTCAAATTTCTACTGTAGTGTCCTTTTCGCACCCATTCTAGATAAAAGGCTAAAATAGATAATCTTTGGGATAGGAAACAGAGTATCCATCTGTCCTTGTTTTGGTAAAGATATCATGTG